ACAGCAAGACTATTTAAAAAATTCTGTATCAATGAAGCAGTGTAGCTATTGGAAGTTGCATTTAAATCAGACTTTTACTTTTAAAAATTATACTTTGTCTCTGGTTGTGTGCAATCCACCCCTTTGTTGATAAAAGACCTTAGAGTTGAATTCAGCTGGTTATCCCAGCCAGTCAAGTAAAATCACTCTTATTTGAGTGAAAAAGGTTGGCTGTGGAACTAAGGAAAACTGAGGTGGAAAACAAAGTCCCTTGTTGAACTCATGCTTCCCAGGCAAGAGCTGAGAGTCTAAATGTTGCTGAGAGACAGACAAGGTTAAAAAGTAAAACTGAAGCAAACATGGAAAGCAAAATACGCTGTTTGCTGTTGCCTGCAGTGTGGTACTTGCTAAATGTTGTGTCCTGTGGGCCAGCAGAGAATAGGGCCCCTGGTGTCACTGGGGGTGAGAACCAAACAGTGCTGCAAATGCACAAGAACGAGTACCAAAATGCTATTTCTGTAACTCTCTGGTGTGCATCATGAACTAACAAACTCCAGAAGCCCGGTTTGACACAAGCTTAGTTCCTGATCCAGGGCTGGATCCACACAGGAAGGTTCTGTGCCACCGCTGGGACCAGAGGCAGGACTGGGTGTGTGAGGAGCCTGTGGTGGTGAGGGCTGGGAGCACCCAAAGCACTGTCTACACGTGGTTAATGGTGCAGTCAGGAGCAGAAGGTACAAAGCACCATCAGAGAGTTACACACTAATAACTGAAACATCTCCCTCTGGTCACTGAACATTTCTGCCATCTCAGAGCTTTGTCAGATTGTATTCCTGTGAGATTCTCGTGGGCAGGGGTGGAAACACCTGTAAATAAGTCTGCTGGTAGGCATGCCCACACTCCTTGGCCTGCAGCAGGAGCTGCTGCCAGGGTCATGCTGCTTCAGTGTAATGAACTCATAAAACTGCTGTATTCTGGTGTGTGCTGCCTTAAAGCCCCTCCTTGTTTTTCCCAAGCCGAGTGTCACGTGTGGGATGGTTGTTGAGACATGTGAATGCAGGCTGTGCTTAGCATGAGGCAATTGTTCACCTTCGGATCTGAACAAAGTTGTAAGATAACTATGCAAATGTATTTTATTAAAGGGACACATAAAAGGATCTAGTTTGTGTGTTGTGGTTTTTTGTCCATCTGGAGAGGATTTTTTTTATAGCTGAATAGCTTGGAATGAGCATTGTGTCACCTGTGATGGAGTGACTTGATTTTGCTTTACCTCTTGAAAATTGATGAATAAATTTCCTCTGTTGTAGCACAGTATCCTGTGTTTACTTATTAGGGAGATTGGATAAAAGTTTTTATTATTTTTCCCAGGGCCTGATGGAAACTGCCATTTTCACAGTAGCAAATTTCTTGTATTAATTCCTTTTGTGGGTTTCAGAGGCTGCTGGTGGCTTCAGGAGTGACAGGAGTGTGTTGGCCTTGTGTGTGGCTGCAGAGCTTGCACCTGGCTGTGGTGGTGTCCCCTGATGCCATCAGCTGCTCTCTGGCTATACTGAAGAGACCGTGCTAGTGCCAGCCCATGGTCCTTAAGGGGACTTGTTGCCTTTCTATGGCAAGCTGGGAAAATGGAGACAGGAAAAAGACCCCCAACCTTTACCTGTTTTTCCCAGCCATATCAGCTGGCTTCAGAGTCAAACAAACAGAACAAATAAACAACCCCTTCCAAAAAAACCCTAACCCTAAACAAATATTTAAGACCATCAAGTCCAATCATTAATGCAGCACAAATAAACTAAATCTTGAAGTGCCATATCAATGCTTTTTAGTACTTCCAGGGATGGTGGCTCCACCACTTCCCTTGGCAACAAGCTTTACAACCCTTTCCATGAAGAAAGTTTTCTTAATATCAAATCTAAACCTCTTCTCTATCCCTAAATAGTCTTCATTGGTCACCCAAAGCAGTTCATGTCTCTGGTGTTGCTACATCCTTCCAGATGAGTGCCTGAGCTCCTGTTGGAGGGTTGACATGTCTTTTCAGAGCTGTCATTTTTAATGGCTTTTTTTCCCCTGTCCATTGAGTGGGTAAGTCTGTTGGGAAAATAGTGATATATGTTATTAATCTGTCTTTCATGGGAGGATTTCCTTTCTTCAGAAACTGTCCCTCTTCCCTTGAATGGGCTCATACCCAAAAAGCCAGTAATTGGTAAGGTATTCTCCTCCAGACTCCCATGTTTTTCAGGGCTTTAAATCTCCTGCAGAAGAGAGCATCTTTTCACTGTGAAGCACAGTAGTTTTTCATGCAGGGGTAGTTATATTAGCAGGAAGAAATTCTCCTTGTTCAGGTATATTTGGAAAGTATAATTTTAAATACAACTCCAGAGACTGGGATTTCCTGCTTACAAATACTCCAAGTTGTTTTGCCCTGGCAGCTGCTTCCTTAGCTCAGAGAGCAGGATTTATCCCAGAGGACACCACAGTCAGTGTAGGCATCTCTCTGTTGCTGTGCCCTGAGTGTCCGAGGTTCCAGACACCCCCTGCTTGCTCTGGTAAATGTTCTGGAGAGAGAGCTGGGCAGGCTGTGCCCCAAGCTGGCTGAAAGCCTGGCTCTACCTGCTCTTGGTGGGAGAGGCAGGCTGGCTTCCCCTCCAGGGAGCAGGTATCCCTCTTGGTCAGCAGAGCAAGTGAGGAGCTGCAATTATCCTTGCTGCAGACACTCCCAGAAATCACACTGCTCTTCCTGAGCTGCCTGAGGGGCTTGGGATGAAGCTTCAGTAGAGGGAAGCCAAGCCAAGAGCTTTCTGCTGCCAAACAAGGCAGTTTTACTGCTTCCATACACATTCCTGACTGTTAAACCAGCCGAAAACTGCTGTTTTCTTTTCCCCCCCTTGGGATTTGTTTGCTGCCAGCATGTGAGCAGCGAGTCAGATAAGTGCCAGAATTGATGCAAGGAAAGGAGGGAACAGCAATGTGGGAGGAGAAGGGGTGGAGATGTAGCTCCACCCTTTCAGCATCAATGAGCCCATGGGTTGCTGTGGCCACTTAGGGAAAACATTGGCAAATGCACTTATTAGGCTGGTTCATTCTCCTTTTATTTTTTGTTTTTCCCTTCAGACTCAAATGTCTGAATTCACCCTCTAAAATCAAATGTGGGGATTGCATAATATGTTTTTATGCCAGTATCATCAGACCTATCAAAATTGGGACTAGTAAACACTAGGGTTTAAATAAAATTATATAAAATACTAAATACAAAGTAGCATTTGTCCCTTCATCCCAGAAGCTGACAGTCCAAACACAAGGTTAGTACAGGAGCCAGTTAATGTAACTCAATTTTTTGCACCTGATAATGAATTTATAAACCAAATCCATTTTAATGCATAAAAAGGGCCCATTTCTCTCCCAGGCTTGGCCCCAACTTTCAGTGGTCAGTATGATAGAGATCCAAATCCCAGCATGTGGGTTGTTCCAGCAGCTAGGACAAGCCAACAGGAGCTTCAGTCCATCCCTGCTTCTGTCACAGGAGTGCACCTTGCAGCAGGAAAGGGAGCCACTGGCTGAGACTTCCAAATCTGGGCAATTAATGCCTGGTTACTGTGCAAGCCCTTGGATTGTCCTGAAATTCCATGTCTTAGTAACCAGGTGGGCTTAAACTCAGTCCTGTACAGACTGAAGAGTTACACAAGAATCCAGAAGTAGCACATTGGCCACAGATTCTCAATGGACTAAGACATCAAACTTTGCAGGAATCACTTTTATTTGTAACTTCACTCGTTTTTCTCATCTGATTTTGGTCTGGTTGTAGCTTTGGGGATAACTAAGGCCAGGAGTATTCTGTGTGATCAAAAGAGCTGCAATCTCTCATCTCTTTTTAAAAAGTGGTTTTTTTTTTCCAAACCTTGTCAGAAAGCTTAAGATCTGTGATTCTCCTTAGGGTGCAAAACAGATCTGGAAGGTCCTGATTTTCAATGTAGCTGTTGTCTTTGCCACTGTTTTACTTCTTTGTGTTGTTCAAATGTTTTCCTTGTTATGCTGTCCTAAAATTTCACTTGGCAAGAGTTTCTCTTCTGCTGACAGTTGCTCTTTCAGAGCACCTTGATGCTGGCGTAGCTGGAAGCTCAGGAGCCTGTGAGGTTTCCATTAGGCCACTGTCACATCAAGTTCAGCCTAATGTTTAGTGTTTCTTGTTTTTAGTCACTCAAATTTATTACTAACCTTCCCATGAGCAGTGAATAGTCACATCCTTGTGTGCCACAAGCATCAGGGTGACAAAGGAGACACAGCCCTTCCTGCTGTAGGTCATTCTGCCTTTCACAACTCCTGTGAACCTTCATGAAGTATTGTTCCTCTAGAACTGCTGGATCAAAGTGAGTCCCTGAGATGTCCTTTCTGCTGTCCTGCAAAACCCACAGTTCACCTGGTATTGCAGTCTGATGCCATCACATGCAGCAATAGATGGATGTTCTCAAATGCTCTGTAATTGTTCCTTCTTTTTTCCTTTTCCCCCACCCTGCTGCTTTGCAATATTCTGCTGTGATGGCTGACAAGAGGGATCAGATTGACTTTCTGTGACCTCCTTTACCCAGCTAAGCACATTCACCACTCTGGTTTTACCAGTTTTTGGTTTGATTACTAAAGTTTGAACACTGTTGTCTTGTTTACTAACATCCAGTAGAGATAGAGTCGTGTGAAGCTGCAGGATTTGCATGTTCTGAGAGAAACTGAGTTTGTGTTATTGACTGTCAGTGTGTTCCTGTGCATGATTTTGATTCTTCATCCTTGATGCATGAAAATAATTAAATGTATTTCCAGCTCATTTTGAGAAAAATAAAAGTTGTGCAGCTATGAGTTACACAACTACAATGTTGTGTTACAGCTTTGCAAATTTGTAGTGGTGGTTTGTATCATAAATTAATAACTAAGTCAGAGAACTTCAGAAATGGGGTGGGGATTAAAGGTACAATGTCCTAAGTCAGGACCAGCCACATTTTCTATGACTTCATCTCACAAAAGACAACATAGAATCATTGAGGTTGGAAAAGATCTTTAAGATCATCAAGTTCAAAAAGACATTGCTCAAGGTAAGAGAAAATCACAGTTTCAAATCAGTGTGGCAGAAGAGATGAGAAAAGTCATGAGACAAATGGAAAGGCAAGAAGTTAAGAACTCTTATTCTGCATCACAGTACAAGGGGTGTCCAAAGAAATAAAAAGGTGATAGACTGAAAAGTGACACGAAGAAGGGAGGGGGTCAATTGCTACATCACTTGATTTTGAAACCCACTGCTGCTGCAGAGAGGGTTTATCAGTGCCTGTATAGTCTGAGCCATAGACTGCTGAATGCTGATGCAATTTTGTTAATTTATCAGATTTAATGCCTTGAGTGGGATCTGAATTCCTGACTTCCTTCCTGCAGGGTGTGCTGATCTCCAGAGCCTTGACACCATGCAGCCCATGGAAAGGAAAAGGCAGGGCTACATCCACGAGCTCATTCAGACGGAAGAAAGGTACATGGACGATCTGCAGCTCGTTGTAGAGGTGAGATGTCTTGGATATGAAAGTGCATTTGGGAAAAGAACACCTCTATACTGAGTAATAACAATGAAGGGATTCTTGAGTTGTGAGATGATGGAGGAAAAAAGGTGTGTGGGCACCTCCCTTTCCAATGAATGATATGTGATTGCTTACCAGGCAAAAGCACTACTTTGTGAAACCCATCAGCTTACAAAGACCTTCCTGTTTTCCAAATCTTATTATTAGGTGTTTGGGTTTAGTAAAAAGATGATGGGCTGAGGCCAGGTGTCAAGCAGAGCTGCACAGAGCTGTAGAAGCACCATATAAGCTTTTCATGTGCCTTCTCCCCAGACTTACTTCTGGAAGCAAGACCACCTCCCTCAGCAGGGCAGGGACAGGCCAGCATTAAGTGCTCCTGGGCATTCAACCTGACCTCTCTGTATAGAACAATGGTGTGCTGAAGTGTGGCAGATGTTAAATAGTCAAGTCACAGGGGTGCTCTGCTCCCCAGAGATGAGGTGCTGAGGGCCCCTGAGAGCAGCTGTGGTTCTGCACACAAGGTGACCCTGAGTGCTCTGGGTCAGGGGAGAGGAGCAATGCCCAAGTTTAATATGTGCAGTGATTGACCCTGAAATCAAAGGAATGCTTCTGCTGAGCTGTCAGCCTGCAGGTCCCAGTACTTGTCCTCACTTTGTAAGTGCTGATGCTGGTGTCAGATAGGGTCACACACTCAGGGGAAAAGCTGTCACAAGTGCTAGTAAGAAATTCCTTTTAACTGCTGAGAAATTAGACATTGAGCATTCAAAAAAAGTCACTGCTGGGCTAACAAAGAGGCTGAGCTGTTTCTGTTCTCTGAAGAATTGCTCATTTTTTGGCTGCAGGTTTTCCAAAAACCAATGGCTGATTCAAGCTGTCTCACAGAAGGAGAAATGGGGCTGATCTTTGTTAACTGGAAGGAACTCATCATGTCAAATACAAAGTTACTGAAGTGAGTACTTACCTGCAGTCTTATGATTTCCTTTTCATTATTCTGTCATTCTTTCCCCAGGAAGTTTGCAGGGTTTACAGTCAATATTCTGTCCTTGCTAATTATTTCCTGTGGATGCTTGCATTCACAACAGCTAAATGCAGTCAGACGGCTTCCAAAGGAGCTATAATAAGAGAGAGGGAAAAACAAACAACAAGAACAGACATACATTTGTTGTAATATCTTAGAAACAGACTCTATACAAAAGTAGGAAGCTTTTCTTCCCATTTTTCGGCAAAGCAACTTTTTATTCTCTAAAAATAATCTTTAGAAAGATATAGTAGCTAGTAATTCATTGAATGGATTGCTGGTTGAATGTAGAGATTGATGCTGATTATCCCAGAAACCTCAAAGGAGAGTCCCAGTCCCCCAGACCCCATCAGGAAGATTGTTCATCTCAGGGTGTTGTGTCAGGGTGACTTCCTGGGGTTTCAGGCAGGACCCTGGCACCTCCTGGAATTGCCTGTGCTGTGTAAGGAAATTCACCTGCCAGGTTTGTGTCCTTTCAGAGGTGGGTCTGTAAGGGTTGTGATTTAGGCCTCGCAGACTTGGCAGCAAAGTTGGACGTGGATTTCTTTCCTCGTCCGCAGAGCCTTGCGGGTGCGTAAGAAAACCGGAGGTGAGAAGATGCCGGTGCAGATGATCGGGGACATCCTGGCAGCAGAGCTGGCCCACATGCAGGCCTACATTCGGTTCTGCAGCTGCCAGCTCAACGGGGCGTCCCTGCTGCAGCAGAAAACTGACGAAGATGCTGATTTCAAAGACTACTTAAAGGTATCTGATTCAGTGGCTTTTGTGCCCTCTCCTTTCCTCAATGACAGGAGCCCATCTAACCAGCATCAACCACATCAGAATAACCCAGAAGAGTAAAATCCTGCAAGAATAGCTCAGAAGCTTCCAAGGTGTATTTACATGGTGACCATGTAAATAATGCTGTGTGTGCTCTTTATTTATAAAATAATGTCTTTCTCTCTAGCTAATTTACTTAGGCCATAAAAGGAAAATTGCCAAACAGTTGACATCAGGCATTTGTTACTTTCATTGCTTTGTTCTTCTTCAACTTGAATGGAGCCTGTGGAGTAAAAATAAAAGCTGGGACAGTTTTGAATGTAAGGATTCTGCATGAACAATGACCCTGTGATTTATGCTGGCAAAGCACCTGGGTGCAATGACACTGCCAGCTTCCTTGTTTGTTCTAAATACAAGTAGTTTTTGGAATGCCTGGAAAAATGAATCTGATCAAAGAATTTTCATTATTCATTGCCAGTGATGCAACTGTTTTCTGATGACTAATGCAATGTCTCTGCTAAATCTCTGGGTTGCACTACAGAAACTTGCCCTGGACCCTCGCTGCAAAGGAATGCCCCTCTCCAGCTTCCTCCTGAAACCCATGCAGAGGATAACGCGCTACCCCCTGCTCATAAAGAGTGTGAGTACCCCAAGTGAGGATTTGTAGGTGAAGACTTTGAGTTTGATCTCCATAGCAAAAGCCAAGATAAAGGCTTGTCCCTTCGTGGGGATTTCTTACAGGCTTACCTCTGTTTTTATATTGCTTTCTCCCCTCTTTGATCCACACCAGATTCTAGAGAACACTCCAGAGAACCACCCAGATCACTGTAACCTCCGGCTCGCCCTGGAGCGTGCGGAGGAGTTGTGCTCCCAGGTGAACGAGGGCGTGCGTGAGAAGGAGAACTCGGACAGGCTGGAATGGATCCAGGCCCATGTCCAATGCGAAGGCCTTGCTGAGGTATCTGCACTGATGCTCTGCAGGGCTGGGGCTTTTCAGAGTCATTTCAGGAAGACTGGGGAGGGAATGTGAGTCCTTGCTGACATCCCTTATTGGAACATGGTCCACTGCTGAGCTCTAGGCAGGGAAGCTTTTATTGAATTCTACTCACAGCCATAACGTGATGAGTTTTTGCATGTTTTTGCATGACTGTAGTGGCAGAGAAATTTTGATTTATCAGCTTAAAAACCATTTAGACCATTAAACAGACAGAAATAAATCTCTGTGAACTCCTGATCATGCTGCCACTGGGCTAAGTCAGGTGTTACTATGGAGGATTTCACTTAGTGTGTGTTTCCCAGGGTTTTCCTTCAAGCAGGAAGGGAACAGCAGCCCTCAGTGCCAGATCCTCAAGGATATGTGGTGTTCAAGTTACTGTACCTTTCAGGACAGCCTTCAAACTGAGGTGTGTGTACAGTTCTCCACTGCATAAAGAACCAGAACTTGACAAATCCAGAAGGTCTGTCCTGTAAGAGGTGACCTGACTGCAGCCTATGCAGCCTCTTCTTAAACACAGGTTCTGGACAACACAGGAATGGCTATGCAGTAAATTCCTCCATCTGGTCATCCCTCTGTGTGTTTTTGGTAAAGCTTAAATCTCCTCTGAGGTGGGAGTTGTGCTTGTGGCCATGGCTGATCATAGAACAGTTCCCTTATCTTCATTTAGAATGAAATTCATTAAACAGAAGAGAAGAGCATTTTCAGCAGCTTGGTCAATCTCCACAGTGAAGAGGAGCAGGAGCTGATGTCTACACAGACCTGCTGCTGCTAATGGGTTTTGTCTCTTCCCAGCAACCCGTGTTCAACTCTCTCACAAACTGCTTGGGACCACGGAAGCTCCTGCACAGTGGGAAGCTGTACAAGGCCAAAAGCAGTAAGGAGCTGTATGGATTCCTTTTCAATGACTTCCTGCTGCTCACCTACATGGTTAAACAGTTTGTGTCTTCTGGATCCGATAAACTGTTCAGCCCTAAATCCAACTCCCAATTCAAAATGTACAAAATGGTGAGTGAGTCAAGGTGTTCCAAGTGTTGGTACAGTGGGTCCTGGCTTCTGATGAGGAATGCTGCTCTCCCACTGGGATTAGCAGTGTGGCCCCTTTTGCTGTCACATGGGCACGTTCTGGCAAACAACTTGCACAAATGACATTGGCTTAGTACCCAAAAAAGGACAGACTTCTGCATCTTGGTTCAACTAACACTTCCATCCACTTTGCATGGAAGGGGCAAAAGTAGCATCATGCCTGAACAGCTGAGTGGGATGTTCAGAAGCAGGAGCCTTGACTTCAGTTTGCACAGGTTCCTGCATCCACAAGAAAATTCCTGTCCTTCAGAAAACAGTAGAAGCTGCAAAATTTTAGTCTCTGTGCCCACACAGTGTGTGTTCTCAAGATTCTGAAACTGGAGACATAAGCTTAAGTATCAGGGCTGCTTTCCCACAGAGAACCTGAGAGATTCCTGGATTTCCGAGCTCCACACTGCAGCTCTGCTTGCACACTCCTTCCCCTTTCACAAAGCCCTTTGCCTAGGAAAGCAAAATGGGGTGAATTGCCAGAGAAGTTTTTCTCTCAGCCCTTTCTTGCATCTTTTACATGTTGATCTCATTGTTTGTCCTGTGTCTTATGACTTTCATTTTCCCTACAGCAAAACAGTGTATTTAAACATGCATATAGTTTCTGCCTGTTGTCACAGGGTGATGCTGCCACAGTGACATTTGCTTTTCTTTCAGCCGGTTTTCCTTAATGAAGTCCTTGTGAAGCTGCCCACAGACCCTTCAAGTGATGAGCCAGTTTTTCACATATCACACATTGACAGAGTTTACACACTTAAAACTGACAACATTAACGAGCGGTGAGTAGTGAAAATTCAAATCTGAGCTTAAACTTGTTCATTGGTTTAACTAACATTTCCATCCACTTTGCGTAGAAGGGGCAGAAGTAGCATCATGCCTGATGCTGAGTGGGATGTTCAGGAGCAGGAGCTTCTGATGCTGCAGGCTGTTTCCACTGAGCAGACACAGGGACGCTGAGCTCAGGAACAGAGCTGTCTCTTGGTCAGGAAATAAACTCACTTGACTCTTATTTGAATGAGAAGTTTTCTCTTATTTTGTTCTGCTTCTGCAGGAGCTCTTGCAGTGGCATCCAGCCACATCTGCTCCTTGATGTTTCAGTTGTATCAAAGAAAAGTTTAGGGCTGCAAAATCCAGCATGCCATAGGATTCCTCCCTGGTCCTGAGCAGTCTTTAATATGCCCCAGCAGTCTTTAATAAAACAGCAGCTCCACATCTAGTTAATTGAGGCTGATTTGGAATGTGGCAGAAGATTAAGTAAAAAAACTCCATCACCTTAGTCCACAAACTGACTTGATTTGTGATGCCTCTAAGATTTAGGGAGGAGAGAATTGAGAAAGGAAGGGGGGCAGAGTCACTGAAGATTTTGCTGTCTGTGGGATGACCCTGACTGTAGCGATTGGTCTCTGCAGGACTGCCTGGGTCCAGAAAATCAAAGCGGCATCAGAACAATACATTGAAACGGAGAAGCGGAAACGCGAAAAGGCTTATCAAGGTACCCACCGAGTTCTGTATTTCCCTCTATCCTCCTGGATACAGGGGCAGAGCATTTCCTGGAAGATGCCAGTGTCTCCTTCAGATCTATTGTCAGTTCTTACAGTTCCAACCAATCTGTTTATTTCTGACCTCTGTTCCCAGCTCGTTCACAGAAAACCTCAGGAATAGGACGCTTGATGGTGCACGTCATTGAAGCAACGGAACTAAAGGCCTGTAAGCCCAATGGTAAGTGAGGGAAGCAGTCTCAGAGCAGTTTTATTCCTGTAACATTTGGAAAGGCTTGCTGAGAGGAGTTGGTCATTTGGGAATCACTGTGGCACAGTTTCTATATGAAATAATCATTCTTTAGTTTCCGAGGACCAAGTGAAGAACCAGCTCTGTGCTGCTCTGGGATATAGGATTGCTGATCCAATTCATCTGCAACAGCATTGATGTGTGTCCAGGCAGGCTGCAGATGGAGGGGGAGGTTCTGCACGGCAGAGGGGTTTCACTCTGTGTTTTGTGTTTAGGGAAGAGCAACCCATACTGTGAGATCAGCATGGGCTCACAGAGCTACACTACCAGGACCCTGCAGGACACCCTGAACCCCAAGTGGAACTTCAACTGCCAGTTCTTCATCAAGGACCTCTATCAGGATGTCCTGTGTATCACCATGTTTGACAGGGATCAGTTCTCACCTGATGGTAAGTCTGAATATTTAGGCAAAAAATGCTTTTTTTTTTTAGTTGAGGTACCCAGTTCCTCAGCAGCACTTTCAAGAGCCTGTAGGTCTGACTGCTGCCTGAGAAATGTTGGGTAAAAACAATGCCTCAACACTCAGGAGGTTCAACAGCATTCCAGAGCCAGTAACTCCAGGCAGTGAGATTTGATCCCAGTCTGGCTTCTGTATCAGACACAGAATTATTTTCTTGTCAGAATGAGGAGACAGTCAAGTTGAAAGCAGAAGTTCTACTCATGATAGGTGCTCAAAAATAAGGTCTTGGGTGATATGTTCACAGCAACAGCTTGATCAGCTTTCTTGTTGCTTGGAAACTGAGCACGTTTTTGGCAGTCAGTTGCTTCTCATATTCTCTGAAAGGTTAAGTGCTTTTTCAGGGTTCTGACACACAGTTATTGCAAATTTGCAGGGAACTGCCTTGACCTGAGATGCCTTGTGTGTAACCATAGCTCAGTCTTTTCTCCTGTGAGTTAATGTGAGTTTGGCTGGCTGCTTCTCCCAGCTGGACAGCTGAGTCTTGGTTTCAAGTCCCTGGTGAACCTTTTAATGCATACACACACAAAGATGTCACGTAAGAAATAGCGACACAGAAGGTGTATGGTTTCTGAACAGGACTATAAACCTATTAGTAGCAGTAATTGTTGAAGGTTGTTCTAGTGAAAAGCATGATACATAGGCATAATTAAAAGTTGGCTAAGCCAAAATAGTTGATTTTTTTACTGTTTTTGAGCACCTCAGATGATTTTTAAACAAGTTCCATCACCTAACTCTGACTGGCCAGCTCTGAAACTGAAGAACAGTTGAAACTGTTTCTGAAAGGGTATTTTCTAAGAATACTTTTAAGGCCCTTAGCTCAAACTGTGACATCCTACTTCCATAGCATTGTTCTCTTCTAAAAAGGTCCCTTTGTGTCACTGCTGGCTGGTTTACACAGGGCTGGGGTCCAGTCCAACTGGAAGCCTGGGAGCAGTGCTCTGGAAATGAGCGTGTACCCCACAGCATTACACTAACCTGCCTCACTCAGATTTTCTATGGTCAATATCTTTGGCTAATGAAATTTCTTATTCATTTGACCTACAGATTTTTTGGGTCGCACTGAAGTTCCAGTAGCAAAAATCAGAACAGAACAAGAAAGCAAAGGCCCCACAACTAAACACTTACTGCTGCATGAAGTTCCAACAGGAGAAGTGTGGGTGCGCTTTGACCTGCAGCTCTTTGATCAGAAAACACTCCACTAAGAACGCTTTTTTTAAATTTATGAAGGACAACTGAAGCTAACAGCCTGAATATCTTTTGGTAAAGATTCCTTGTCCCATGCTGGTTATTAAGCAAGAATTCCTGCTGCTCCTGTATTTCCTCTAAGTTCCTGGTTGCGCTTAGTTCCTTGCAGTGTTCCGAGTTGTTGTTGATCTATGCAAACACAAATGTTACTGTAAATACAGAACTATAGCTCAGTGCCTTTTTATTATGTTGGAATATCTTGGGTTTGGATGCCAATGTTTCCATTTTCAGGGCCATAAAAAGTATTATTTTGAAATGTGGCACCAAGCTGTTTGTATATTTTACCACTTAGTCTGACAGACAGACTGAGGAATGGTTTAAGCTCAGCACTAGAATCATTCCATTTGAAATCTTATAAGTGATATCCACTGGAATTTTCCCATCTCAGGATGATTGTTTTAATGGTTAAATGCTGAAGAAGCCTTAGGACTGGAGAAGACTCCAATATATTGTACATTCTTTTAAGAATCAAGTGTAGTGCTTTACTTGACTTTAGTTCTGCACTGGAATCAGTAACTGCTACTTGATTTTTCTTTCTGCTTCAGTTTGATTTATCGTTCTCTGCTGAGACAATGTGGTTGTGAAGAATAAATAGAAAAAAATATTTTAAATACTGTGACCCACAACAATGTGGCAAAATACTCTTCAGCTCTTTGGGTTTTTTCCTAAGTATAAGTTATTTGTGTACATTTCCTTGGTCTTGCAGACCTCCATGTGAATTTTGAAGCTTTGACATTGCCAACATGTATATAGAGAGTAAAATATAAGTTTATTAATTTGTCTACAGATGTTTATTGATGCATAGTGATTTTAAAGAAGTATATTTTATTGTATAGGGGAATGTGAAATAATGAGAAAAACTTATAGGATTTGTTCAAGGAAAGTTTATCACAAGTTTAAAAGGTTTGCTCTGGGAAACTGTCACCCCAGTATAAACTGTAAAATGAACTGGTTGAAATGAAAGTAAAAACTTTCTCTTGGCACCAAATCAGGGATGGTTTTTAAAAAAAGAAAGTTTGTTTATAAATATTTGTTACATTGTAGCCATTGTATTTCCTCCTTTAAACTGCTTTGTTGCAGAAGCACAGCATACAGTTCCCAGCAGCCCGTGCCCTTGTTTTCCACGGGTGCAGAAATTCCTCCTGAAGTCTGGCAGTTTCCCCCCCAGTCACCCTCTGTGCACCCTCATATTACTGAGTCAACCTCTGTTATGTTTAACAGTTTTCTGTGGTTCAGTATTTCTAATCCTGAATAAAACTCAACTCTTGGCAACTCTTGAGAGATTGTGCCTGTACAACAGGAGTTTGGAGGACAGAGAAAATTCTGTTTCCAGGCTTTGAGCCCAGAGCTGCTGAGCAGCAAGGAGATGGGACTGCACTGGCACAGGAGAGGGACAGGTTTGAGGGCACTGGCAGAAGCTGCTGCTCAGCACTAACTCTCCAGAAAGCAACAGATGTTTTGTACACCACTTCTCACCTCTTCTCCCCTGCTTCTCTCCCCTGCCTTCTCAAAACACCTATGATGTATGTTTGATTTACTGCTTGGACACTGTCTCCAAGAGAGAACACCAGCACTGTCTTTATTAAGCTCAGCCCAAGATAAACCTCCTAAAAAAGCAGGTTTTGGCTTGTAGAGCACTGAACTGAAGCTGGCATGAAGAGGAGCAGCATCTCAGACATTTCTTTGGCTGCTGGGTAACAACATTTCAGAACTACACATTTGAGACAGTAAGTTTATTGCAGTTTGCCCAAAGGCCTGGCCTGTTCTCACTTGCTGTGGCAGTGCATGTAACCTATTTTGTAAAGGGTACCTTTGATGGCTGTGCTTGCTGCCGTGGCCAGCTGGAGCACAAGTGACATCACTGGCTCTGTCATTGTTCTGGTTGATAACTTTCATCCTTTAAAGAGAAGAAAAAACTGTTGCCATGCTTCTGTAAAGATCAGCTGAGCCGTCAAATTATTTCCTTCTACACAGCACACACTAAAATTGCCTGGGAACTCTCCAACCCTCCTTAGACAAGACACCCCCCTCATGCTGCCACAATGGATTTGAAATGAGGAAAACAAACCTCCCACTGTCATTGCTATTGTGCCTCAAAAACTGAGCTTAGTATAGATCCAGACTGTGTCCCTGGTAACCATGTTCAAACACTCTTGGGCTTAAATGCAGCAGGAGTGAGTAAAACTAGAACATGCTCCTCTAGAGCAGCCCCCCAGAAGCACAGCAGTAACATGCTCTGTTAACTTCCTGATGATCAAAGTGGGACTCCAAACCTACTCACACCTTCCAGCAGTCTGTGCATGTCTTCTGGAAGAATGGATCGTACTCTGATGGGTCATAATCATCCAAAAACACATAGCCCTGTGGGAGAAGCAGATACTGAGTCAGGCTTCAGAAACTACTGGTGGTTGCAACAGTGAGAGCAGCCAGCCTGGGTGGCACAGATCCAGGCACAGCATAACACAGCAACAGAGTTGAAATCTGTGAATTCTGTGAAAAAAAGAATTCCCAATTTTCATACACTGCACCTCAGAAAGAAAGTGACTGAACTGTAACAGGAAAATTCCTCCCTCCATTTTAATTTATCAAAGGCATAAATACGTTATGTATTTATGAAATCTTTTGTTATAAAAGATTTCATTAAGCATTCAGAAATAATGACAGGCTAAAATGCTAACCTTAATTAGGACAGTCAATACAATGGAATTTTTTTTTATTCAAAAATGTTTTTTCAGAATAGGAAGCCCTGAGATTGTCTCCATTTGTCAGAGCATGGTGCTAATAACACCAAGGTCATAGATTTGATCCCAGAATGGGCCACTCACTTAAGAGTTGGACATGATAATCCTTCTGGGTCCCTTCCAACTCAAAACATTCTGTGATGTCAACAAGACAGATATTAAAAAGAAAAGAAAAAACAGAAATGAGTGACCCCTCAATAGCCACAACCTTAGGCAGGTCACCAGTCTGCAAGATACCAGCTCCACATCGGGGTTCATGAGCTGGCTTTTCCATCTATACATTGGAATAAAGACCTGAACCTCATGGTCTGGGCCACAGCTCCATCTCATCAACAGTGCTGCCACAAGTGAAGGAGAAGGCTGATAGCAGGGAAGAGAGCAAAAGAAAATAGGCAAAAGAAGGGAAAACACATCCAGAATTAACCACATTAACTAATCCACACAAGTTCAGCAAAATTTATCATATGCTGCCACAATTAATGCAAACTTTTGCCAGTAAGTTTGGCATAATAATTTGTCCTGTAAAATGTCTTTTCTCTAAAACTTGTCCTGACAAATAACTTGTCCTGTAAATATGAAGGGTCTCAGCCTGCTTTTCAGACATGCTGGTGACTGAGCTGACACCACAGAACAAAGAGAAAAGGTAGAAGCTGATCACTGGTGCTGCTGCTCCCCTTCAGGCAGAAGGACACATCCTAGTACATCAGCCATTGCTTCTAGAGGCACCCAGCAAATTCCTGACCCAGCACAGCAGCTCGCAAGATGGACTGATACAGACCCAGATATGTACAGTACACCCAACATAGCCTAAATCCCAGGACTTCTGCAGTAGGACTGGCTCAGTTCTTTGTCATTCCATGCAGTTTAAATGCATGGGTCTGTCACATCAGGCCTTTGAAAAATATAGTTTGGTCTCTTTAAAACAACACAGCTCCCATGGTATTTTAGTTTCTGGGTAAGTAGGTTGGGAAACACACTTCAGTAGGGTGTGTCTATATTCAGACCCCAGCACGTGTTCATTGCACCAAGCAATGCTGCTGTTCATAGCTGCTGGTGAATGTACACAGTTGTAATGTCACCATTACAGAAGTCCTCGAGAAAAGTTACAGGCAAGGTATATCTGAACTCCAGGTTACTCAACAGACAGGAAATCACAGCTAAACCCCCAAACTTGTCCACAACCCTCTATATACAACCCCCTTCATGATAGAAATGTGTTTCTCATTCATACCTTCTTTGTACAGTAGTTTAAATATTGAGAGTATTGTTCTTGTCTCCTTTTCCACACTTCTTTCTGTGACTGGCTGTCCATTTGGTCCTTCATTTTCTGCATAAATGGCTCTGAAACATTCTCAAGATATTTTTTGTACAGAAGCTCTGTCTTTCTCAGATGTAGGAAATCATCGTGCTTCAAATATCTGTCCACCTCCTTAAGTAAGAAATGGAAAATAAAAACCATATAAACTATTGGTCAATAACAGTAAAGATTTCACATGTAAAGGTTTGCATCTTGGCTGACCTGACTGCTCACTGCTCCAAGGCATGTGTTTTCCAGCCCTTCCTTCTGCTCCTCCCTCTCCTCACTTCCCAACACTTATTTCCAAGCTTGCCCTTTTCAAGAAGTTAGCATTCAGACACTTAAATTTTGAAGCTGTGGTGCAAAATTGGTAGAAAATTACTCACTTTTTCCCATCAGGTTATTGAGCTGAAATCACTACAGAGCAGGGGGCTGCAAGCACCAGACTGTGTAAAACAGGCAGCAGAAGGACCTTCCCTGCAGCACTGGCAACCTGCTGGATCAGATCAGAGCAGCCCTCCTACCCTTTGCTCACAGCACCACTGTCACAAATTACCACACCCACAGAACAAATATTAGTGCAAACAGGCAGTTCAAGTCACCTGGGATTCACATTTAGGGTTACTACTTCAGGCCTATCCAGAGTGGAATGAAAAGATCAGAAGCTCATAACTCTAAATTAGTTTTTCAGCAATTAACATTTTCTCAGGAATCACTGTTTAGGAATTAAAAATACTGACATGCAGGAAGGCACACAGCAACTGAGAAAAGAACACACTTCTTACCCTCACAAAATTTTCTCTGTCCAAGATGCACTGAGCAGAAGCAATGATGTCTCGGCTTTGATCAGGTGGTGCCTATCAAAACACGAAAAAAGCCCACATGAGGTGAAAGTAAGACTTAGAGCAGGAGCTAGATTTACTTTTTAATTCAAAATTATTACCAGTGTCAAGATTAGAGGCATATTATACCACAACCCATCTGGCAAACCCTTGCAAGATTTGATCTGAACAGTCGGGTTAAGTAGCAACAAAAGAGCACTGGAAGAACTGGAAGGAGAACTGGAATGTACATGCTCAGAACTCTTTGGCTGTTCCTCACCATGACCAAACACCACTTCCTTCTTGTCAGTGTTTCTCACCTGTGCCAAACATGTGCCTTTTAACTCCTGCACTCCAGACAAGGAGTACAGGCAACACACACCAAATCTATCATTTTGGCATGGAATGCATTTTATGCATAGGCTGGAATATTAGCCTGCTACTCCCTGTGCTTAATATTGACTTTTAATTCCAATTGACAGTGTAATTTTCAGTCATGTCTGCCTTGGCCCTGCTGACCAGCTCCACACTCCTAAAGGTTTATTACACTGAAATGAGCAGGACATCAGAGCAAGAAAGGAAGACACAAGAAGTATTAAAAAATCCACCAAAACAAATGAGAAAGAGGAAATCTAAATTTCTGGCATGTTTCAAGACCCCTACATCCTACTATTTGAAATAACTGGTCTGTTGTACTATGCCTGATGAATTTACTTCACATAGTCACAGATCCTTTCTAATGTCAGTACTGTAACAGCAGCACAAAGACATGGCCATCATTCCAGCTAAGAACCATCGCTGGTGAACAGGAGAGGAGTTTTCCTTCAGGATGATACATATGTGAAAATTCCTTAAGAACCAAAGGAGGTAGGTGTCCTTTGACTGAAAGAATGAAGTCCCATCTCCCTGGAAAAGGGCAGGGCCAGAGGCAGCCTCATCACAGTACTACTTACAGAGCAGCTACAAAGAGGATACAGGCTCTCACTTCTCCAGAAGCCACAGCAAGAAGACAAGGGAAAAGAGATACAAGTTGCATTGGCAGAGGTTTCATCTCAATGTAAGAAATAATTTTTTACAGTGAGATCAATCATTCACTGAGCAGCCTCCCCAGAGATGTGGTGGAGTCTCCATCACTGAAGGTTTTCAAGGTACAATTGGACAGGGAGCTGGATAACTCATCTGGTGTCTCTTTCCCATGAAAGGCTGGGCCAGATGATCTTCCAAGGTCCCTTCCAGCCTGGGCTGTTCCATAAGTCTGTGATTCTAACTAGTCACAAGCTTGTTTAAGGTTTTATGAGAAACTTTTCCACACACTAAACTGCAAGTGATTTAATAAAGCTGGATCAAAAGGATGAAAAAGCTCAATAAAACCCATTGAATCTGTTGCTATTTTTAGAATTCTTTGTTCTCCTTCTCCACGAAAAACAGCTTTTAGATTTTACTGAACTTTGAAAATAACAATTTTTCATTCTTCCCTTCATAACCTCTATTTAATTCCTCCATTTGCACCTTCTCAGAACAGAAGCCCTTCTTTCTGTGTTAGCCAATATTTTCCTCCCCAAAATGTCTGCTGCAATCAATATTATTGGCTATGCCACTCTGTTGGTGCTGAGGAGAATCTCTGGGTAAATGTAAAGAAAGAAAAAGGTCTGCATTAAGGGACAAACTGCTTCACAAGGATCAGGTTCCAATCCAGGTTCCACAACCAAGGCACAAATGGTATGGAATGGTAAGCAGTAATACAACTGGAACACCCATTTCTGAGTGTGCTGTGGAGGGACAGACTAAGCACAAAGCTCACAGATGAGTTCAAGCACATGCCAGGGATGGAAGTCTGGGAGCACAGACAGCCCAGAAAACACTGTCAGGATTTCAGTGGGATTGGGTGGCCAGTTCCAACACAGGACCCAGTTACACACCTGGGCTCCCAGTTACAGATACTGCTCTGTGTTGTTCACAGTAGAACCCACAGGAATGCTGGGGGTCACTCACCCTCCAAGGCTGTTGCCGCTTGGGTTTTCTCACAGGTTTCCCATTTGCAAATCTTTGTAGCCAGGGACCTTCTGAGCCATTCACACTACCCATGGCTGGATTAGTCTGGGAAAAACCATTAAAACCATCAAAACCATCAAAACCCATAAAAAAATATTGTATTAACAGCAAAATCTAAACTCTTTTATAATTCCTACTGATCAGTGAAACAGATCTCTAAAGGACTTCTAACTGCTGATACCTGCAGCATTTTCCTGTCACAGTAAGTAAAATACAGAGATGAAGTATCAGGTTTACAGTCAGATACTGCCTCTGGTGGAACCATCTGACCTCATCTCCACACACCATGGATAGTGCATTCTGTTTCAAAGAACAGTGATTGACAAATTGTTTGAAAACGCCTGTCAGCTTTGGAAACATTTCAGAGTTATCGAATTTCGCCTCCAGACTATTACTTCTTTCCTTTGTGCCTTTTTCAATCAGATAAAATCCCTTTCAAGTAACTGCCACATCCCACTATGGCTCCATTTTATTGGTTTTTAAATTTAGTTCTACCAGATGAAGCTTATGCTAAAGTGCTAACTCAGCTCCAGTCAGAAAATTCCATCTTGTCTCTTGTATGTGCATTAGGATATCTGGATTGATTTATAACAGAGACAGTGGAACCAGAGAGCAAAATGCCCTTTACAGGAACCTCAATTTAAACCCCTATTTATTTCAAATTCACTAGAGACACACCGCTTCCAGGAAACAATGGATTCATAACATTACTTAGGTAAAGAATGGAAAAAAATAAAAGCTTATTTCTGCAGAGATGCTGACCCCAAGTTTTCAGACAGATCTTTCGGTTATTAAAAAAAAAAAATCTGATATTCAATTATTTTTTGTAATATCCAGTTATAAGAATCTGTGAAGACTCTCGAGTATTCATAAAAGATAACTTTTTTTGGTAGAAGACAACACTTAAGATTTTATTCTGTCCAATCCAGCACTTTATGAGAATATCTGACTCCCAGCTTACCTCTCTGGAGTGCAGACTCAAATTTCTTACCATCAATTCAAGGTAAAGTCTGCAATTTACATCTTTGTTTCATTTTATATTCCCTGCTCTTGTACCCTGACAAAAACATCTGCTGGGATATTCCTGCATCCTCACAGCAATGTTTTCCTGTCTTTTCTGACCGAAAGAGTCAGAAATCACAGGAAAGCATAAGTTGGAAGGGACTTCAGGAAGTCACCTGGTCCTGTTGCCTTTTTCCCAACCTGGAATGAAACTCAAGATAATTTTAGTAAGGAGGCAATATAAAAGGGCATCTTTATGTGAAGGCCTTTAGAGGCAGTTATGGAAAGATGTTCACAAAAGTCCCCCCCTCCCAGGGTTGAGTACATTTTTATAGGTTTTAGGAAATTAGCATAATTGATAAAAAGCACCAATTAGGATGACAAGTGGTGATGCAATTCCCCCCCAGGTCAAGCCCCTTCTCTGGAGCCCCCCCTTCAGCACTAGCTGTACTTGGTCCATGAGAATGCATCCCAAAGACTTGTTTTCAGCCTTGGCTCCCAGAAAGAACCCAGACAGGATAGAGATCTTGCACCTCCTGGGGCTTGGAGCTCTGGAATTTTTGTTATCTTTCTGCTTAGGGAAAGGCCATGGAAAAGTACTGTGAAAACTAGTTACTAATACAATAGGTGGCACAGTTATAAAAATATGCGTGAAGAATATAGAGAACATAGAAAATAAAGAAAAGGTAAAACTCAAATGCCATCAGTCTCTGTGCCAGCTTGAAGAAAAGCAAACCTCACAGAACCAATTTTTGATACAAAATTAACAGGCAAACAACAAAAGATTTCATTACCTGACATACTATAGATTTGGCATTAGAAAAATCCAACACTTTCCTATGAGCAATATATCCTCCCTACACGCACAGGTGCCACAGGCTCCCATGTCATGCCACCATTTACAGACTTCCTCCAACTCCAAGTAGTCCATCCACCTCACAGAGAGAGACTGAGCACAAAGCAGAGGAGGTGCTTGACCTCCTCAAAGAATTGGGACCCCAGGGGAGATAAAACAGAGCAAAGAGAATGTTCCTCTGCAGCAATCTGCCTTCAGGAACCTACAAGTGGTAAAGACTCTAGCTACAGATTTTCCCCCACCACCAATCTTCATAACTCAAGCTTCTACTGAATCTTAATCCTATCTTTTTCTGCTTTTTTTGGACTCTTGCTGGGAGATACCAACCCTCCTCTCTGCAAAGGCAGAGCTCACTGATATGAGACAGCAGCTGTTTTGCAGATCTTGAAACTACAGATTTAATCACAGGCTTAGACAGAAATAAAGGATTTCCAGAATCTGAGAGGATAAAACAAGCCTTTAGTTAATCTAGCAGTTGCAGTCTGCAGATGCCAAACCCCATGAGCAGGCTGGCTGTTCTGTATCAGGACATTTGTTTCACTGTGCCAGATCCCTGGAAGTGTCCAAGGCCAGGTTGGAGCATGGAGCAACCTGGTTTAGGAAAAGATGTCCCTGCCCATGGCAGGGAGTTGGAAGTAGATGACCTTTAAGGTCCTTTCCAATCCAAACCATTCTGTGATGACTAAACCTGAGAATAACCTAAAAACCCTTGCTAGATAAACACGCATCCTTCAGTGCTGTCAGTAGTGTAGCTCTGTATCAGTAAATTTTAAATACAGGTTTCTCTTCTTTCCTCAGCAGAACAAGGTTCTTCCCCAAACACCCATCTGCTAAAATTCACACCCTCTGTGCCCAAACACGAGACTTTGCAGCAGCTTTGAGGAAACACATCTTAATTACTCTGTGACAAGTACAAGCACCCTCACATATGCCTCAGTGCTCTCAAAGTCCCGCGGAGGCTCCCGTGTCCCTGCACGGATGTCACCCTGCAGGTACACACAAGCACACGGGCTGCCTTCACTGGAGCCTCCGTCCCCTCGCATTGCCTCGGGTGCGGGGGCAGAGAACGGCCACAGAACCAGTCTCTAGTGCGAGCAGGGCAGCTCTGCGAACAGAACCTTTTATACTGCGAATGCTGAGCTAACAGGTAACGCGTGTATGCCCGGAAGGTCCTGGCTTGGCCCTGCACTTCAGAGGCAGCGATAGGATAAAGGGAAAGGCAGAGACCTGGCTTGCCCCTCACCCTGACCGATCCTGAGGCGGGTCCCGCAGGCACCAGGAAAGAGGATGCGGCCAGGAAAGATCCAGACCTACAACCCCCGTGCCGAGGTCCCCCTCTGGGGAGGTGAACAGAGCCCCACGAACCCCCAAAGAACTACCACAGAAGCCAAACCCGCCCCGCGCGGCCCCGCCCCGCTGAGGGGAAAATGGCGGCGCGGCGCGCCTTGGTCGCGCCTCACATCAATCGCACCGCCCCTTCGTGATCGAAACAAAAATAGTCCCTCACCCATCACCCACAGCTTCTCGGGATAAGGAGATGCCGCCCGTGGGGACAGGGACCCGGATACCCGCGAAGAAAGGGCACAGAAACCTGTGGGGACAACGCTGCGGCAGCCCTGATCTGGCTCCGAAGGCAGACAGGGCCGGGACGCGGCCGCATCCCTCCCGCCGCCTGATCCCTCCGCGCCGCCCGCGCAGCGTCCCACACCGCCATGGCAACCCCAACGCGCGCGCTCCCGCCGGCAAGGCTTCCCACCAATCAGAGAGGGGAGCGCGCGGTGAGTGAGCCAATCAGGAGCGAGGACGGCCCCAGAGCCGAGTCGAGCCGAACGAGGCCGAGCCGAGCCGAAGGCAGCCGAATGGGGCCGAGCCGAGCCGAGTGCAGTCGAACCGGGCCGAACCGAGTCGAACGCAGCCGAACGGGGCCGAGCCGAGCCGAAGGCAGCCGAATGGGGCCGAGCCGAGCCGAGTGCAGTCGAACCGGGCCGAACCGAGTCGAACGCAGACGAACGGGGCCGAGCCGAGCCGAGCCGGAGCAGTCGGGCTCCCTGGTTTATTATCCAAAGTTCATTAAATCGTATTTCAAGATTTCACACGTGCCCCTGCAGTGCTGACCATGCCACCAAATTTGAAACTGTAATCAGCCAGAGATACCATCAGATAAGAGAAATGCGAGGGCTTTTTTCCCCAGCAGTGCTGCACTGACACACAGAAATCAAAGTAACTGTGTTCCACGTAGACGGGGTGTTTCCTCGAGCCCTTTATAATTTATTTTTTTAAATGCAGTATTATGATTGATTTGTCAGAGCCCCAGGCAAGATGAGACCCTTGCGCCCAGCCCCCTGCCATTGCCCCGGAATGGGATCCCCCTGCCCAGCCCGCTGTGCCCAGGGTGCGTTCAGTAACCTGGCCAGGGACTTGGGACAGAAGCGTGTCAGAGTCAAATCCCTTATGTCAGTCTGGAAAGAAAGACCCCCCCCCCCTCTGGATCCCCCACAGTCTTAGTCTCTATGTTATTAATTTCTAATTTAATATTGAATTTAATTTAATTTTAAAATAATTTTCTCCACTGCCACTGTTTGCCAGCACCCTTGAAGTACTCAGGCTGAGCAATTCAAGGAATAACACACTTTATTAACAAATACACTGTTCACAGAAGACTGGGGCAGAGTTGGGGCAGAAATTGTCACTGACAGTGCATTGACAACAAGAAAAAGTTTGAAGGCATATGCACTCTGATCACCAGTGAAAGTTTAAGATAATAAGTGTGTACAGAGTAAGGATCCTACCCAACAGGTGTGCCCATGGAGGAAAGGCCAGGATCAGCCCATCAACCAAAAGTTATGTGGAGCCTTTCTTAACTTTTCCCCCTCTTAACTCACGGTTAGACTATTTCTTTACACTTAGGTGAAGCTTGAGCAATTCTAGTGAAACATACTTTTGTTCTCAGTTGGTGCAAAATTCCCTCACTTTGCTCTCAAAGATATAGTTAATAAAATAGACAGTGTGTGCTCAGGAAGGGTTAGCCACACTTTGGAGGTGGGTAACTTTGGGATGGAGGTGTGTCATATCATCAGAATGAGAGTGCAAAGAGTGGGGATCATCTGAGGAGAGTGATTTCCCCACAGCTGCTGATTGAGGAACAGGACATCTCCTCCATCCTGTGCTTGGCAGCTGCTGTGTGCTTTGTCAGCTATGAGGTACCACCGAGTTCCCATTCCTGCAGGGATCACAACAGAGCCTGTCCTCAGAGTCTCCATCCTGCTCCACCTTCCATTTCATCCCTCCTTAGCATCTGCTTCAGGCTGCAGGGGGTGTTGCATGGGGAACTATCATGGAATGAATTCTGTGCTTGCCAATCGCATTCCCTCCTGGAAATAGCAACTGCATTTTACCCTAAAATTTCCTATGTTACAGCTTCTGTTGGAAAATGTGACTATAACTTTAGCCTCAAGATTTTCCCCCAGATGTCTCTAATTTTCCCCCACTTTTCCACTTAATCAAGCCCATGACTGTAGTCACTCAAGCTTCCCAATATCCAAATGGAGTTCAAGAGTGTTTCATGCATTTGTATTTGTATGGATTATCTGACGTTTGTAGGGGTGGCCAACAGGCTAATTGCCTCATAATAATACAAATTTTAACATATAATACCTTTATCAAGACAAAAAGCAAAAGTTCCATCCAAGAGTTTCCAGGTCCATCCACAAAGTAAATCAAATGCTAAAAGATTTGTTTGGACAGCCTCCACAAGCATTTCAGCCTTAGTTAACCATATTTCTCCCAGAGACCAGATGGAGGCTTTTGCTCTGGAACATTCCTTTAATATTCCATCAATTGATGCAAATTTAGTTTTATGGCAACTGGGTATCATTTGAAAAAATATTTTCTGTTTTCTTTGTAATCACTAACACTTGAGCCCCTGCAGAAATTAAAAATGTAACAATAACTTTTTGAGGACCAACTTTGAGGAACATTATTTGAAGGTCTGAGGCACTTATGAGCCACTTACTGCTAATTCCCACTGGGCAGGGTGGCTCATTGTCCTCCCCAGAAATGTGGGGGGTTTGCCATGGATTCTGTCAAATTAAATCCTATCTTGATGAGGAAGGCACATGCTCTTTCTGATGCAAAATTTTTTCCTGAGTTTGTTTTTCCTCATTCCTGCTATTTTTCCTCACTGCAGTTAAAGACTTATGGATGTCATCCCTGGAGCCACCAAGTAGCCAGCACTTACGTACTCGCAGCTCTCAGGCCTGGCACCATAGGTCACACCATTCTTCATGGAATTTAGGCCTCCCATTAGACCTTTCATTAAATTTCATGAGACCTTTAATTAAATCTGGACCATGGAGTATTAAGCTGGTGGGCTCATCATGCACAGTCCCTGTAACTCACCAGTCCTTGCACAAACTCCTACGGGACTTTGCTGGCCAGAGTTTTAAGGTGGTCAATGATGGATTTAAGGTGGCCAGCCTCAGTTTTAAGATGGTTATTCTGAATCACAAGTTGATCAACTTGGATCCCCAGTTTTTCTCCTGTCTCCCCCTCAAAGGCTAAGGATGACTTTAATACCTCATTTTCTGATTTCAACACAGTATATTCTAGATCCAAAATTGGTTTGGAAACAAGAGTGTTCTTAGATTCTTTCAGTGCATGAGAAAAGCATGCTCCTAAAACTGCACAAACGACATCTTTACCTATTGCCACTTTAGATTTCTCTCATCCTTATACTGTTCAATGTGTTCCATGACTTTCTCTTAATCTCTCCAAAACTCTTGTGCCTGCTCCTTCCCAGCCTGGGAAGGGGCACATTTGTGTTTTCACAGCAGCCTATCCATGCCAATCCTACTGACTGTGCCAATTTTCTGTCAGGTAAAGGCGGAGAGAGGGTTTCCTCGAGCCTTTTGTATTTGATGAGTCTGTCAGCACCCCAGAAAAAATGAGAGCCTTGTGCCTGACCAACCTGCCAGGGCCCCAGAATAGGGACCCCGCTGCACAGACCAGTGTATGGAGGGTGGGTTGATTAACCTTCAGAGTCAAAGACCCTATTTCAATTTACAAAGAGAGGCCCCTCCTGGTTCCCCCTGCTCCTAGTCAGTGTGTTATCAGATTTGTCAAGCATGCTACCTGTGCCAGAGCCCTCAAAGGACTCACAGTAACAGTATATAGAATAACACAGTCTATAAATATAACAGAAAATTGTTACAGGTTGAGGTTTGAGGATTGACAGTGATAGTACCTGACTGCAAAAACATATTCAAAGCAACACACAGATAATCCCCACCAAAAGCTGTCTCGAGATAATCAATCAGTATGTGGAGAACACAGTTCTTACCCAACAGATGTGCCTGTGTGGAAGAAGACAGGTTCAATTCTATGACTGACCCCAGAAGTTACAGTGAAGACTTCCCAAACTCCTCCCCATTCTTTACCTTTAGGTGGAGCTTGAGTGAGTCCAGTCATACAGCAAGAGGTGGTTGTACCTTGGAGGGGGGTAACTTTGGGATGGAAATATGTTACAGCATTTCATCTCAGCTAACCTTGGGATGGAGGTGTGATCAGTGTAACACCTGGGAGAGTAATTAAATAGCATCAAGGTGTCTTCTTCTATCTCCTTTAGTTTGTTGCAAATTATGCAACTTTTTTTTTTTTTTATTGTAACTTTAGTCAGGGGTTTGTTTTGTTCACCTTTGCCCAGAGGGGAATTGGAAGTTTCTGTTCAAAAGACTCTGTTCACTAAGTAAAGCCTGATGACCTTAAAATGGACAGATTGGGAGTAGCCAGAAGATACAGAGGAAATAAATAAGCATTCATGAACATCACCTCCTAGGGAGGTTGGAGACACCTGGTCTGGGAAAAGATTGATAAGAGAACCAAAGAATGATGTCCTAATTAATATCAAAGGTGAAGGAATCCATAACCAATACAATATCAAACACTAAGAATTGTGTAATTTAAGACAAATAACCCAAATAAATAACCCAATTAATTTATTTGGGGTTTGTATGTATAAATATGTGAAAAGTCTAGTAAAGAACCATATGCGATGGAATGATTTTCACTGTACAACCCACACATGTGTGAACGAAATATTTTCTACCACACTTCCTGGCCAAAATAACATCCTGGACAGAAAAAAGTAATACCCCAATTCTCCAACACTGAAAAGATGTTGGAGAGTTTCTGTTTTCCCCATAGTTTCAGTGATAATGTGACTATAGCCTCGAGATACTTCTCAGTTTTCTTTAATTGCCCCCCAGTCATTTTCCCACACTGTGCTAGAACTGATTATTTATTTAAAAAGAAAATAATTTTTGGTTTGGGTCAAGCCTAGCCTAGAAAAAAACCCTCACTCCCTCCTTCTGCTCTGATCTAATGGTTGTATCAAGTTTTATCTCATTTCTTAGTGTTTTCACTGTGGACTATTTCCTCAGCAAGATGAAAATCAGAAATACTTACACTATAAAAATGTAACTGGACTTTTATGGCCTCTCTGGGAAAAAGGACCATTTTCCTGCTGGTCAATTCTCATGCCTTTGTTGTTGTTGCTGCTGTTATTTTGCTTATCTGAGGCCGTACATTTTTTCTGCTGAAACTCCTGAATTTCACATGGAGGAAAGTATGTTTTCCAATATGAATGGAAGGGGGTAGGAACATTTATACATCTGTCTTTTTACAGAACAGAATGAAAATGAACCAACTTCAGACTTTGCTGAGTGACAGCCTTGCCAGCACAAAAAGCATGTGGAAAATGCAGTTATCATTGGTATAAAGACAAGTCTCTGCATCAACCTTTGGCTTTAATGTGAGAGATCAAGAGCTTCCTGGGAAGTGACAGCAGAGGTGGAAACTCTGTGAAATCAGAGCACAAAGCAGAAATAATGGCAGGGAGCACAGCACTCTACTAAATCCACTTGTTCTCTCAGCCTCAGAGCCCAGTGCCAGGGTAAAGCTCAGTTGACTTTGCAAGGTGATTGCTAATTTCACATTTTTGATTTTTTGGAACAAAGATGCCATTTAAGTGGCATTTTGAAGGAGTCCTTTTTAACCACTTTGTGCTCAGTGATCCTGACAGTAAAGCAGATGGATGTAGGTCCATTCTCTGGCCCTGAGACCTGCTGGAGTGGATTGTGCTGTGCCCATCCTATAACCCCAAAGCTGTGGCTGAACCAGGATGCCTCTTGGGAACATAGACCTAGATTTGATAACAGGAGTTAATAAAGAAGTATTTTCTGCCTAATTCTGGAGAAACAATGCAGTGAAACCACCTGTAGCTGCCAAGTTACTATCACTGATACAGCACATGAAACAAGCCCATTCTTCTATCAAATGACAGCTCTGTCTGTGCCCAGAATCACAAAACCACAGAATCATTTAGGCTGGAAAAGACCTAAAGATCATCAAGTCCAGCCATTAGCCCAGCACTGCCAAGCCCACCACTAAACCATGTCCATCAGTGCCACATTTACACATCTATTAAATATCTCCAGGGACGGTGACCCTGAGCAGTCTGTTCACAACCAGTGTTTCACAACCCTTTTGGTGAAGAAATTGTTCCTAAAATCCAATCTGAACCTCTACTTATACAACTTGAGGTCATCTCATCTTGTTCTATCACCTGGAACTTGAGAGAAGAGATCAACCCTTATCAGGCTTCACCCTCTTGTCAGCTGGACAGAGAGAGAAGGTCCCCCCCGAGCCTCCTTTTCTCCAGGCTGTCCCCACCCTCAGCTTCCTCAGCTGCTCCTCCTCAGACCTGAGCTCCAGCCCCTTCCCCAGCTCCGTTCCCTTCCCTGGACCCACTCCAGCTACTCAATGTCCCTCCTGAACTGAGGGGCCAGAACTGGACACAGCCCTCGAGGTGACCCCAGCAGTGCCCAGCACAGGGGACAGTCCCTGCCTGGTCCTGCTGCCACACCATGGCTGGCACAGCCCAGGTGCCTTTGTCCTTCCTGCCCACCCGGGCACACCTGGGTCACATTCAGCTGCTTTCACCAGCATCCCCAGATCCTTCTCCACTTTCCACCCACTCTGGCCCCATCCTGTGGCACTGCAGGGATTGTTGTGACCCAGGTGCAGGACCCAGCACTTGTATTGAACCTCAAACAATTGACCTTGGCCCTCCAGCCTGTCTAGATCCCTCTGCAGAGCATTCCCTCTCTCCAGCAGATCAACACTCCAGCCCAAATTGGTGCTGTCTGGGAACCTACTGAGGGTGAACTTGGTCCCCTCATCCAAACCATCAATAAAGACATTAAACAGGGCTGGCCCCAGTGCTGAGCCTTAGAGAATGAGATTTATTAAATCTAACAGCAAGGCCTTCCCCTATAAGCTAACTTCAGGTTGGTTCTATCTTATTATTTTCAGCAGGACTACACACAAAGCTGGAGCAGGTCCAAAAGGCACCAACATCTGCCTGGCTGGCTCAGTAATAAATTCAGGAGCCATATCATATTTGATGTGAGCTATTGTTTTTCTGCTATGGGAGGAAGGCAGAAAGTGAAGTAAAGCTGAAAGGTTGCAAAAAATGCCAACACTTTCAAAATCCTGTAACAATATCCACTCATTATTTGTTCTTGCAAATAGTCACATTTTTCAAAACTGGCTACTGTTCCTAGCAAAGACTAGGAAATACTAGGTTTTTCCAGGGCCGGATTTGCAGTACTTATTCTTTGGAGTATACTCTTGCTGTCCTGGATGATTTCTTTGCA